TCTAAGTTTTTACAAAAAGAAAAAAGACAAAAAAGAGTGAATATATTTTAAAAATTGATATTTGAATTATTCGAATTTACATATTTATTAAGTGTAAATAAATAACACCTATGTTCATCTATCAGTTGAGTACATAAAGAAATTAAACATGGATCTAAAGTAAAACGTAGAGCTCTAATTAAGAATAAAAAAACATATTATTTCAACGTGTCACAATTAGATTAGTTAAGCATTTTGTTGCACCATTTAATCTTAGAGAAAAAATAACAATAATGGTATGTTATGGTTAGCTTAGGTTTAAAATAATATATATTTTTAAAGTGATTTTAACTTTTAAATTTGTTAAAATAGCACTATTGATCTCCTCAAATATTCAATAAACTATAATTCTTAAATTTAATGAGAACTATGAAAGAAAAATAATTAACAAGATATATTAGAAAAAGATTCGTCAAATTTCAAAAATTACCCCAGGCACAAAAAATATATCAAAATATAAAAATTGCACTTGAAGAAGTTGCACCCTTCACCAAAAATACATAACAAATAAAGTAGAGTTTAAAAACGACACGTCCAAATATGAGATTCTTCAACTTTTTATTGTTTTTAATAAAATTTTGAGTATATACTAGATTCATTAATATGAAACATTTTTCGATGTTCGAAGAAGATTCATACAATCAAAATTCAACTAATTTGATATTGAACAATTGATTAACTAAACTTCCTTTCAAATAATAGGGATGACGACGAAGTAGAGAGTGATGGAAAAGGAGATGAAGATTGATAATCTGACCTCCACCTGTCTCTCTCTTTTGTTTTTGGCTTTATGCATTTGTATGGAAAATTTATTGGCTTGGCGTTGAAGGGAGAAGCGTCCCCTACTAGAAATTTCTCTATTTTCATAATTTGAATGACAAATTTATATTTAAGAATAGAGAGATTTTGTCTGTTCCATTGTGTTCCTTAGTGCCATATCTAACTCTAATATAGGTCATTAACACTAGCTAGTATGTGATTGTAAAGACTAAAGAGGACCCTGGGCCTTGTTGTTTAAGTCACCTAAAAGCCTAGTGGTATAGATCACAATAGCAATAATTTGTGAATGATTGGTACTGATCTAGACTTCAAGACAACTTGTTGGTTTGCCAAATGTGCAGTACTGAAGTTCTACAGTCCCTATCATAGAGGACCACCTCTCTATAATAGTCGTATTCTATAATACTAAACATTTTATTATAATAATTAGGCATGATACATAAACGTGGCCCTAGCTGACACCTACTTTCTCCAATTTTGAATGTGCATAAGTAGACATTTAAACTATTATAAAGTTGAATAAGCAGACACACATGTCTTATATGATATACAAATCATGTGAGATGCGCGTGTCCTATATGGGAAATCGTGTGAGACAAACCATGTAGAATACACATGTCTACTTGTTCAACTTTATGATAGTTTCCTTTTATAATCAAATTTCATTATAGCATTTAAAAAATTAATGAGGACACATACCCACTACCAATCAATTGCCACTACCTTTCCTTATCTTGCCCTATTAATCTGTTTTCTCCCCCCTACACTGCTTAAAGGTTCCTAACTAAAGTTCGTTATGTTGTGTCCCACCTTGTCTTGGTGCTTTTTTGGAGTCTTTATTGCTTATTATATCATTCTTGACTCCTTCCCCCGTGTTCTCCTTGTAAGTTTGTTGGGAGTTTAAGATAAAGGGCGTTAAAAATGAGCCTAACTATAGGTAAATTCGATCATAATCTGTCCAGAAGGGTTCATGAAAATTTGAATTGAGTTCAATCTCAATCAATTTTAAGAGAATCTTCAATTGAGCCCAATTTAATCTCCAATTTCAATTCGTTTTAAGGCTCTTTATTTGCATTGATGTAATGTATATTCGTATATTGAAGGTATGAATTACTATCTATTTTATATCTTTTAGGATTTATCTATCCATTAGTAACTTCTTTTTTTAATTTTTCTTGAGTTGAAATTTAAATTGTATTTATAAAACTTAAATAACAATATATTAAAATTATTGAGATTAAGCAGGTCAAATTGAGCGGGTTAAGATTCAACCAGTTTTAAAGCCCATTTAAGCCCAAAATAAACTTGAGTGGGTCAGGACCCAACCCAGTTTTTATTTCAACCCAATTTAATATCTCCAATTTCAACCCAACCCTCCCACATTTGACGTACACCCCTAGTTTAAGATGATTCTAAGGGCGTGTTGAGAAGGTGATGTGACACCTCTTTATGACCTCCATTTCAATTTTCTTTTTTTGTGGTTTTGTTGAGATTTTCTTTATTTAAATTAATTATGTTATTATAAAGGTAAATCACTTAATTATTACAAATTAATATTTTATTAATGAAGAAACACTTGCAACTAAGACTCTTCACATGCCAAATTATAAAAACTTTATAGCCAACAATAGTGTTTATCTTTTTTCTCGAATTTAAATATATTTTCTCCTTTAATTTATTTAATACAATTAATTAACCCCACGTAGCTTATCAATTAATACAATTGATATGCTATATTTATATCTTCTTCACCTATGTTTTCCCATCATATTTGCTTATATATTTTTATACCATCATGACTCATAACTCATCTACTTAATTTCCCCTATTAATAATTTATAATTCTCATAATTTTCAACTTTTCATATTCATAACCATTAAATATTTAATGTAAACGTTAAGACACCTTATGGTATTCCTTCATTTTTTCCCTATATAAATTCAATTTTTTATTTCTTAAGATCCAATTCAAAATTATCATTTATTTTCACTATTATATTATATTCATGCTTTTGTTTGACTTGAATAACAAGAAGAAAATTCTTGAATAGTGAGTCTTGTGAAGTGGATATCGACAAGAGCTCACAATTATGTATTGATTTCATTTTCCTTCTATTTTTTATGATTAAAGTTGTAATGATATATGTATTTCATTTTTTCTTTCTTTCCTTTTTTATGTATTACTATGATGCCTCTTAAGTTTAATTTATATAGATTTATGATTGCTGTAAGTCTATAATTTCTTTTGATTCAAATAAGTATTTTAAAATGGAGTAGATCCTGAAGAAATATTACTTTCTTATGAATTTATCTCAATTATGATTTGAATTCAACTATAAGTACTAACCATGTTTAAATTTATAATTAATTTCCTTTTGCTCAAATCAGTAACTTAATTATGTTTTAAAGTCTGCTAACTACTAATCAAGTTTTAAAATTTATAACTGATTGTGTAAAAATAAATTTTAATGATTGAAATATATTTTTCATTTGATATTTATTATGTTCAAGTTCTTCGAACTATCAAGAATTATGGCATGACATGAAAATTGATAAATATAAAGTAACGGGAGGGAGGGAGAGTGAGGTAATTCTAAATTATATGTGCACAACAAATATTATTTATATTTATTTAGAATTGAGACATAAATGCGTAGGAGTTTTCACGGCTAAATCATTATTCTTTATTTGATGGTAATTATTACTCATTTTATATTAAAAGTATATTAATTGTCATTAACAAACTCAAAAACCTTATCCATTCTTTAATTTTCTTTTTACCTTGACAAATAGTATATTTATGTGATTTATTTTTAATTTTTTTTATACATTGTAAGAATAAATATTGTGTTCTTTCACTTTTAAAAAATAATAAATACATCACATGTAATTTTCTTACTTTTTTCTTTGTGGAATCAAATTGTATGTGTGTGCACATTTATAGAAAGATATTATTATTTTATTTTATATATTTTTTTATGTAAGGAGAAATTCTTTTAAAATATTCACAAAATCCCAACTTAGATTTATATATATTAAATATAATATTAGCTATAGATAAATATATTATCATATTTATAAACACCTCTTTCATATAATAATAATATTTAATAAATTATCTATTTTATATGACCGTGCGAAGCGCGGATAAATTCACTAGTTTGTATATAATCTAGATAGCTATATGATGGTGGGGTAGGAGTAGGGGTGGTGGGAATGGGGCTAGGGGGAGAGCAAAAGATAAAGTATGTCGAAGGGTAGGGAGAATATAATTAATGTGAAATACTAGTTGTGAAACTTATTTTCCCTACTTCCACGAAAAAGTCATTTTCCTCATTTTTAAGAAACTTATTTTCGTAGAGAAAATGTTTACTAACAATTTTAACCGAGCGAATATGATAAAATTGAAAAATATTTTGTGAATTTTTTTTCTTCTTATTGTTACACTGGAAAGGGTTAAAATAGATTACATTCTTTTAAAAATAATGTTGATTTAAGTTTGTCACGAGAAGACAACCTATACCCTTGTTTCCCCAAATTATTAGCTCTTCATCATGGTTGTGTCATTTGTCCGAAAGTCGACTCATTGATTCGCCTCTTTCCAAATATGTTTAATAGAAATTTCATTAGTATTCAACAAAAATCTATAGTCTTCAATAATAGCCCTAAAAGGATGGTGTTGTATGTCCTCAATCTTAATTAATCAACTTTTTTTTCTTATCAAAGGGATTCCATATATATATATATATATATGTATGTATTTATACTAAAAGTTTAGTTCAAGAGAGTATTGGACAATGATGACATGGTTAGAAGCTCTTCTGTTGGAGAGAAAACAAGCTTGGCTTGGTTCGATGACAAGTAGAAAATCAATTTCCTCTTATTGCACTATTAGTATATTTTTATCAAAGCATTTTAAATCAACACAAAGTTCAAAAAAGATAACAAAATCAATTTGTTATTACATCCAAATAAACAGTCCCAACTTTGGTTATACATGTGAACATATTCTTATATGCCCAATAAATGTACTAAAAGATGTTAAGAAAAATTGTACTTTAATAGATAATTACTTCAAAAGAATTGTGGACTAGGCCATATATATAATTGCAATTTGCCATTCCTGCGCCTGCAAAAATCATTAACAAAATAATGTCAGAAAAAAATATGATTCTTTTTTACATCAATTTAATTAGTCAAAACCAAAACCAACCTTGATTAAATAATTTGGTCTTTCTTTTACTACTGAAACCGTACACCAAAAAGGCATTGTAGATCAGTTTCAAGATTTGGTAGCTGTTGTAATGCCTGCAAATGAAACAATTCCACAAAATATGGCAAATCTTAGAGAATATTTTAAGCTAGAATTAAAAATAGAAAATGTTTTTAATTATTTAATTATATTATGTCTTCACACGTCACCCTTATATGTTGGCCTGATTTTTAAATTGTGTGTGACTATCTCATCCGAGAAAAAGCTCTGTAAATAAATAATTCTTAGTTCTAACTTAGCCCTACAAGCTAGCTAAAAAAAAGGAGGATTGTCTAAGCCATATAAAGAGTCCTAAGATCTCGCCCCTATCGTTAGATGTGGGACATTTCTTTTAACACCCCCTCACGCCCATACTCTTTCTAGACTGGAGTGTGAACAATTATGTACCGGGAGTGTATTCACAACCCACAGATCGGATTCAATGGTTCTGACTCTGATACCAGATTGAAGAAATGAATTCTCGACCTACCCCAAAAGCTAGCTCAAAGGAAGAATGATTGTCCAAGTCACATAAGGAGTCCCGAGATTTGTCCCGATATGACATGGGACATGTCTTTCAACAAACACATTTTTAATTATTTAATTATTTAATTATATTATGTTTCAAACACAGAACAAAGGATCAAAGAAATTACCAGAACATTTGAAGAATCAAGAAAAGCTTCTGGGAAAGACATCAAACAATTTTCTCTTCTTTGTGGTAACATTTGTGTAACACCAATATTACTGTTTCCTTGTTGTTGTAAAAATGTTGGATTAGGTAACTCCTTGGCAAATAAATTATCTGTGTTCATATTGGAAGTGGCAAGTTTGATGGAAAGAAACTCCACTTGTTTTTGAAGAGATTGAACATAATTGATGATTTCATCAAGCATTCCTGCTTTGCCAATCACTTTGTTACAACCTGGTACTAAATCTTGTAAACATTTCATCTTCTTGCTTATTTTCTCCCTTCTTGCCTACAAAAATTGATTGATAAGAACTAATTAGCATGTTGCTTTCCGAATTAGCTAGGGTATGCATATAAATTCGTAGTAGTCATCACTACAACAACTTAAAATACATTTATAAAAGGAATTCTTGTGCACTAAACGTTCTACATTCAACCAGGGTCGAGGGAAGGGCCACACCTCAAAGGGGTATAATGTAAGCAACCTATCTTGACAAAACATCGATAGTTGATTTCAAAGTTCGAACCCGTAACATATAGGTCACATAAAAACAACTTTATTGTAATGTAACATCTTGCATTCACCCAAAGTTCGGGGAAGGGTAGCATCCCAAAGCAGTGTAATGTAGTCAGACTATCCTAACACATTTCATGGCTTGAAACTATGGCCCATAAGGAGATAATTTTACTGTTATTTCAAGATTCCAGGAGTTTAAAACATAAATACATAGGTAGTCACAAACACAACAACATAACACTAAAAAAGGCATCTCGATGGATGAAACATTCCACATTCACCCAAGATTCAGGGAAGAATCGCACCTCCAAAGGGTGTAATATAAGCATTAATTCTATTCTAATAGCAAGTACCAGTGACTGATTTCACAGTTCAAACTCGTAATCCACGACAACTCAAGTTACAATGATGTAACAAGATAGAAACTATCAATGTAGTAAGAGACTTACTCTCTCAGCTAAGCTGTGGCTATCAGTAGCTTGGCCGCGACGAGCCCTGACATGAATAAAATCAGTATTTTTAGCCTCTAAATTCTCCTTTGAATTCTTCCCTTTTTCACTTTTCACTCTCATCTCTGTCTGTACTTCCCCTACTTCTCCATCATGTCTATTAACTTTACATTCATCTTCTTCATTAAGCTGAAAAATGAACAAACAACATAGAAAATTAGGGCTCAAATTGCTAAGGCAAAAATAAGTCCAGTGATTTCTTTTCATCTGTTTAATTTGGATTGATTTGTTTGATAGTAACTCAACTAATAATTATTATTTCACGAAGTTACAATTTATTTTTATTTCAACGAATAAAAAATAAAGATAAAAACTATTAGTTGAGTGATAATGTGATACATGTGTTATTGGAAGGTCAATTTCATATACATATGTTGTTGGTAGATAAATACTAGTAATTCTTTCGTTTCAATTTATGTGATGTTCTTTCTTTTTTTTAAGCCACTCCTACAAAGAATACTATGATCTATATGTATTATTTATTTTAGATCATAAGCTTCAAAAGTCTGTTTTTATTTTTTAAACTTTTGTATCCAGTCAAACATCATAACATAAATTGAGATGCAAGAAATATCTACTTAGGTGGCCTAATTAAGGTGTGTGCAAACTGGAAAATCTTAGTAACTCAATTGATTGACTATCTAAACTTTTCACCTTAGATAGTGAGGTTTGATCTATCCCATTGCAGGTGCACGAAAGCGAGCTCGGACGCAATCATTAGTAGAATAAAAATAGAAAACAACATTTACAAACCTCTGATTTTCTCTTCTTGCTTGTCCAATTCCTCTCTTCACTTCCAAAATCAATTTGTGTGTCAATCTTGATGGGAAAATTCTGAAATTGACTGAATTCCATTGTATGTTCACTCATTAAACTATTGAGTCGAGCAAGATTTTGATTTGGCAAAGAATTAGAAGTTTGTTGTTGTTGGCATTGGTACAAATGTTCAAAAATAGCTCTTTGTCTTTCAAGAATGCTCATTTTGAAAAATGTTGGAAATGATATTTTTTTGTCAAATCTGAGTTTATGGTACTGTACTTCTAATCAGTGGAAGAGATTTATATAGGTAATAGATAAAGTATAAGTTACTATTTGGATATGGATGAAGGCAGAAGCGGATTCAGAATTAAAACGTGATGAGTTCAACGGTTAAGATTTGATATAATCGAATCAAGTGTAGTCTCTCTGTTCTAAATTGGGTGGATGTTTTTTAGCACGGGTGGATTTATAGGCAAAAATACGTGGCACATGAATCTGTGGTTTTGTGTAATTTAAATTACTTTTAAATATACAAATATTTTATTTTTTTCAAAATAACAGACAAAAAAATATATCACATAAATTAAGATAAAAAAAAAAGAGTAATATTTTTAAGATTATGTGTTCATAATTTACTCCATCTATGTTATCACATTTGGGGCATATAACTGGACATGAAACTAAAAAGAAACCGAATAATTTTATAAATATTCTTAAATTATGTGATCTTAAACATGATATGACATTTCAATAATTATAAGAACTTGTTATTGAAACTGAATTGAGAAATTGACAATTAACAAAAAGTTTGTAAATAATGAAATATGTCTTTTCTTTTTTAACAACAATAGTAAGAAGAATAAAAATATTTTATAAAGAATACAATAAATAAAATAATATTTTATATATTTTTTATTTAAATAAATTTATATTTTACATCAAATATATTGAATTCACTTATACCGACCTCCAGATAAAGGGAGAGAGAGGGACAGATGGGGGCCCAAAAATCAAAGCATATCAAGAATGTGTTGATAAGCTATGGTAGGGTTCAATGAGTGGATATCCAACTCCTTACTTAGTTCAAAAGCCATTATTATAAATGATATAATATGTTTTCTCTGTTCAATAATATTTGTTTATTATTAATTTGCATATTTTTAAAAAATTATAAATAAAATAATAATTTTATTATATTACCCGTTGAATATGATAAATATAATGTCTTGAAAAATGTAATAAAAAAATAACTATAATTAATGATAAAGATAAATTAGAAACTAAGTGTAAAATTATCCATTGATTTCATAAATCAACCAAAACAAACAAGACAAGCAAAATAAATCAACAATACGAGACACCAAATTTACGTGAAAACATCTTCGAAATGAAGAGTAAAAACCACAAGATCAAAGCTCCACTATAATCAACAAGAATTACAAATGTGTTCTCTAAAATTACCATCAAAGAAGTGTCAAATAATGAGCAACAACAACTACAAGATAGAACAAAAAATTAGAGAAAAGAAAGGAATAAAATCACCAAATACGCAGCTACTATACACAAAAAAAAATAGAGCTAATCATCCACTGATTGACCAGGTTAAAATGGTGTTCATCTTGACGGGTTCAATTCTAGCTGCAACCTATTTGACATTACTGAAGAATTTTGTTGGAGAAATTTTTCCAGAAAGATTCTCTGTGATGAGACATAGATTTAAAGGAGGAGATTTTAGAGAGAAGATGCAAGTTGTTGAAGATTATGTGAAGAAGGTGAAGCAATTTATTTTGTAAGAAATTCAGGCCAAGGGGGAGATTTGTTGAGTATTTGCCATGAGGTTCTTAATGTAATTGGGTTTTCCATTTTCTAAAAGGAAAACACAGTCTTCATATTTGGCTAGTTCTATCTTGTAGGAAAATATTTATGACTATAAATGGAGGTTCATTCCTTCTAACTTAATAGCATTCACAATGTAGTCCTAGGAGCTTTGAGAGTTCCGTGTAAGGGGATAAACGGTGAGACACAAGTAATACGTTATCACTTGTGTGAACCTCTTTTTGACTCATGCAAATAAAAAAGCACTCTTACGCTCTAGTTTGATCGGGGGGTCGCAACTAAGATCAGAGGGATAAACTTTCCCACTATTGGAAGAAATATTTTATGTTCAGGGTTCCTCACTTGTTTTTTACTTTCTTTTTTACGAAAACAAGAGTGATTTGTGTGAGATTAATTCTCTCGATATCTTTTACTCTTATATTTATATAGTGAATTGATCATCTCCTCTTGTGGATGTAGGTCTGTTGATTGGACCACGTTAAATTTTTGTGTCTTTTGGTATATTTCTTGTTTATTTTCTTACTCATGATCTTTCAAGATTTTCTTTGTTAGCCTCCGCATGACATTTAATTATTTCCAATCCTAAAATACTAAAGATAGCATGACAAAACATTATGAAAAGAAAAAAAAGTATCTACACCCAAATAATACTATAGTCGATGTACTAGAAATCAAAGAACAAGAACTACAAGAATAACCGTATTGGGATATCAATGCATCTCCTCTTCACATGTCTGAACCATCTCTGGCTCTGCCCGCATCTTATCCTCTACCGAGGACACTTTTACATTGACCCAAGTATCATCATTTCTAATCTTATCTCTCTTAGTAAATCCACACATCCATTTCAATATTCTCATTTTCACGACTTTCATCTTCTAAACATGAAAGTTTTTAACACTTCACCACGTATAACATAAATGATCTATCAATATTATATAAAACTTGCATTTGTTTCAACGTGACACTTACTTATCACACATGACTTTGTAAAGAGATTACTCTCATTTTGTCTTTGCAAGGATAAAGAATAAGACAACAATGCTTTGCGTCCTTTATAGCATGTTGTCACCATCACAAAGTAAACAAAAATTGAAAGGACTCTAATTTTCACATACAATGTCATGTATGTATGTATGTGTGTGGCCAAACACATATACAACCCCTCTAACTTGTCCACATTTTTCATTTTGACACTTTATCTTAGCCTTGTTCCATTTTAACCCTTAAACTTCATTTTTTATGTACCATTTTAACATGAAATACTATTTTTATGATTTCTTTATTTTAATATATATTCTTCAATTGCAACTTCTTATTTTAAATCGACATGTGTCAAATAATTTTAGTTAAAAAATTAAAAATTAACAAAAAATAATTCTTTTTAATAAATAATAATTTCTTTTTAAGAGTGTTATGTATTTTTGTGTGAAAAATAACCGATAAAATTGTGTTGGTTTTCTTTCTTTAAAATCACCGACAACCTAACAAAGTCAATCGAGTTTTAACATTGTTTAGTAGTTTATTAGCAATGAACAAGAGTCTGTTTTTAGTAGTGTTATTAACAAAGTCAGTCGAGTCTTTTTGAAGATGGGTTTTTTTATTCGTATTGATTTATATTAAAAATTAAAAGTGAGTATTTGCGTTAAATTTAGATAGCCTAGATGATAAGAAAAAATAAATAAGTAGTGTTATTTAATTTAATTGAATGTTTAAGAAAGAAAATCAAAGAACTTTCGTTAATTTATTTTCATGCAAAAATACAGAGAAATATCAAAAATTAATATTATTGTTTGAAAATTTTTATGTTCGTTCGCGAATGTTTAATTTTTTTACAAAAATTAATAGGCACATGTCTATTTTTTTAAAATAAGAAATTGCTATTGAAGAACATAGATAAAAACAAATCATAAAAATTAGTGCAAGTGTTTAAATGGTACAGAAAAAATGAAGTTTAAGGGTTAAAATGGAACAAGGCTAAGTTGGAGTGTCAAAATGAAAAATGAGGGCAAGTTTGAGGGGTTGTGTATGTGTTTGGCCGAGAAAATATTTTCATATTCAAAATAACCATCACTAACTGTGTGACTTTATCGTCAAAAATTATCTCATGACGATAAATATTTTTCCATCTTTGATAAGAATTTTATATTCGAATCTTGATTATGAAACCGCTTTTGATAAGATACACTTTATCCTTGATGAAATTTTTTCAATATGAATTCTGACTAGTCAAAATTTTAAAACGCATATCGAATACAAGGTAAAAACTAAAAAATAAAGAAGTAAGTTTACATACTTATTAGAAAAAAAGACAAAGTGAAAGCAGGGGTGGAGCCACCTTATATCAACCCCCTTCGGCGAAAAATTACATTAATTATACATGGTTAAAATGTTTTTTTATGTATATATTAGATGTCGAACACCCTTCGGCTACTTTGTGTGTCTATTTCTACAAATTTTAAACCCCTTTATTGAAAATCCTGGCTCCACCACTGAGTGAAAGGCAGCTAGAGACAAACTTAGCCAAACAGTTGTCTCCCGTTTGGTGACTGAGACAACTCGTAACGAGTAGTGCTAGTATAGAAAATCATAAATAGAAGTGAGATTAGAAAGAAGAAAAAAAAAACTCTAGTAATTAGATTCAAGATAATAAAACATAGTAAGAATAATCTTTTTAAAACAAAAAGTTAAAAAAGAAAATAAGGCAAATAAATTTAAATGAAGAAAGTAATATATCGACCTAATGAATTGGGGAAGTATAATAATTCTGAAATCATTATTCAATATAGAATATAGTATAAAAATAATACTATAATTTTAGTACAATGATTTGAAATTACTAATTTTAAAAAGGACCTGAATATCTCTTAATTTTTGATTCAGAATTGATATATCCCTCGATAAAAAGGTAATGTAGATATACTCTCATTATCTAATAAATAGAGCATATTTATCATTTTCGTTAACAAATTAATATTTACTGAATTGAAAAAAAAAAAATGGTTTCTAATCCCAAAATTGTCATGTAGCTTTCAAATTTACCTCACTTATTTTTTTTTCGCCCTCCAGACTCGACCCTAACTTTAAAAAAAGAAAAAAAAAAAGTGGATGTGGTAAAATTTTGTATAGTCACTTACATTTATACTAGATATAGGACCCCGTGCCAGCACGGGGCCCAATATATATTATTTTTTTATTTTAATTTATGTCATATTATGAAATTTGAGAAGTTATTGAAATTTTTATATGATTTTAAAAATATTTTAATTTTTTAGCTATTGTGATTTGCAGTACTTTTTTTTAACATAATTTTGAAAATAATATTTATTACTCTGTTTGTTCTAATTTATATGGCACACGCAGAATTTCAAATATTAACCCTTTTT